CCGGATAAGTGGAAGAAAATGGATGGATGGACTAAGACAGAATACATAAAGGAGGTTTTGGGTGTAAATTTACTTTATATTTTCTTTATATTTACACCCAAAAAGATGTCATAAATGCTGTCATGTGGAATGGCATAAATGACTGCATTTATGTCATTCCAGATAAATGACATCATTTATGTTGTCATTTCTTAGTAAACAACTCAGAAAGTGGAAATAAATTAACTTTAATCACTGATGTTAAGGGCCAAGCTGTCTTAATTTACCTGCTAGACAGCAATTTTTCAATTATTTTTTTTTTTCTTGGTGTACCCTTTATTTTGAAGGTAAACTCTCCTGACTTCCGTTTTAACCTTTACCCTCCTCCAGTGTTTTGACAGCTGCACGTCACAGGACCGTCCCATTGATGACTAACAGGCTAATTAAAGCACACAGAGCAGATTCCCCGCGTTGTGGACAGATACGTGCAGATGTGGTGATTTATCCACGCGGTAACGTACTCATAAAATGTTGTGTCTTCATTGTGTGTCTTTAAATGACTAGCTGGCTTTTACAGCGACAATTTTGTATGAGGCTTGACTGTCATCAGTTAGCAGTTAAGGAAATGCACTTAATGCTCATCAGTTAGTAATGAACCATAACTCGACTGGGAAAACCCTTTCCCATTAACTGCGCTAAACTGGACTCTGTCGCCTCCTGCCGGACAGCATGGTTCATGGGTTATTTCTGATTCCTAACTGCTGTCTGTTTATAAATAAACAATAGAATCTAAATTCCTGCAATAACAGCAGCTACACGGTGGCTTTAAGACACAATGGCATAGGAAAATGTAATTATATTGTCACATAGCTATCAGACTCTTTGGAGGAATTATGCATGAATTAATGAGTATCTTGTAAAACTCAAATAGGAAAGCTGTCAAACGTTTGACAGCTAATTGTGCTAAACTGTTTCCATTTATATTTAAAGTTTTAAAGTTTTACAATAGCTTCATTTTCAACCTCAGTGCCTCCTCATTACAAATGACCCCGTGTTGCAAACCAGGAAGGACCGCTGTGTGCAAACCCTATTCTACTTTAAGCCCAGAGAGGCTATTATTAAGATAGATAAAATTAATATACAGAAGAAAATTGATTCATAGCATAATTAAGTAACAAGTGTTCACTTTAGATTCATTATGAACACAATACAAATTACTACAGGAAAAATCCATTTGGAAATGTTGCATATGCATAGCAACTCCATGAAATTTTCAGGAGACTCACCTACAAACAGCACTAATAAACAAACGCCTAAACTTTTGGTAAATATAATCCCAAACATAATGTTAGACAAAGTGAAAGCTGCTTTCACCTGAGTCGCACATACACATTACAAACGCCAAACGTACATGGCTCATAGCAATTAAAGGAACATTTGCACAAGGTACACAGTAGTTTGTATGGCCCCCACGTGCTTGTATGCAGCCCTGCTAACATCAGAGCCTGCTCTTAATAAGATGACTGATGGTTTCCTGGACGATTGGATGGAAACATAATGTCCCAGAGGTGTTCTGTTGGATTTAGTTATGTCCCTATATGGATATGCCCCCCACAGACCATCACTGACTTACCACCAAATTGGTCATGCTGAATGATGTTACAGACAGCGTAACGTTCTCCACAGCTTCTTCAGATCCTTTCACGTCTGTCAGATGTGCTCAGGGTGAATCTGCTCTC